AGCACTCAGATTACTACAGACAGCACCCAGATTACTACGGACAGCACGCAGATGACTACAGACAGCACCCAGATTACTACAGACAGTAGCCAGATCACTACAGACAGCACGCAGATTACTACAGACAGTACCAAGATTACTACGGACAGCATCCAGATTACTACAGACAGCACCCAGATTACTACGGACAGCATCCAGATTACTACAGACAGCACCCAGATTACTACAGACAGCACCCAGATTACTACGGACAGCACCCAGATTACTACGGACAGCACCCAGATTACTACAGACAGCACCCAGATTACTACAGACAGCACCCAGATGACTACAGACAGCACGCAGATCGCTACAGACAGCACCCAGATCGCTACAGACAGCACCCAGATTACTACAGACAGCACCCAGATTACTACAGACAGCACCCAGATTACTACAGACAGCACCCAGATTACTACAGACAGCACGCAGATTACTACGGACAGCACGCAGATCACTACAGACAGCACCCAGATTACTACAGACAGCACCCAGATTACTACGGACAGCACTCAGATTACTACAGACAGCACCCAGATTACTACGGACAGTACGCAGATTACTACAGACAGTACGCAGATTACTAAAGACAGCACCCAGATTACTACAGACAGCACCCAGATTACTACAGACAGTACGCAGATTACTAAAGACAGCACCCAGATTACTACAGACAGCACCCAGATTACTACAGACAGCACCCAGATTACTACAGACAGCACCCAGATTACTACAGGCAGCACCCAGATTACTACAGACAGCACCCAGATTACTACAGACAGCACCCAGATTATTACAGACAGCACCAAGATTACTACAGACAGCACCCAGATTACTACAGACAGCACCCAGATTACTACAGACAGCACGCAGATTACTACGGACAGCACGCAGATTACTACGGACAGCACCCAGATTACTACAGACAGTACCCAGATTACTACAGACAGCACCCAGATTACTACAGACAGGTCCCAGATCACTACAGACAGCACGCAGATTACTACAGACAGCGCCCAGATTACTACAGACAGCACCCAGATTACTACGGACAGCACCCAGATTACTACAGACAGCACCCAGATTACGACGGACAGCACCCAGATTACTACAGACAGCACCCAGATTACTACAGACAGCACCCAGATTACTACAGACAGCACCCAGATTACTACAGACAGCACCCAGATTACGACGGACAGCACCCAGATTACAAAAGAGAGTACCCAGATTACTACAGACAGCACCCAGATTACTACAGACAGCACCCAGATTACTACAGACAGCACCCAGATTACTACAGACAGCACCCAGATTACTACGGAGAGCACGCAGATTACTATAAACAGCACCCAGATTACTACAGACAGCACCCAGATTACTACAGACAGCACCCAGATCACGACAGCACCCAGATTACTACGGACAGCACCCAGATCACTACGGACAGTACCCAGATCACTACGGACAGCACTCAGATCACTACAGACAGCACCCAGATTACTACAGACAGCACTCAGATTACTACGGACAGCACGCAGATTGCTACGGACAGCACCCAGATCACTACAGACAGCACCAAGATTACTACAGACAGCACCCAGATTACTACAGACAGTACCCAGATTACTATAGACAGCACCCAGATTACCACAGATAGCACCCAGATTACTACAGACAGTACCCAGATCACTACAGACATCGCCCAGATTATTACAGACAGCACCCAGATTACTACAGACAGTACCCAGATCACTACAGACAGCGCCCAGATTACTACAGACAGCACCCAGATTACTACAGACAGCACCCAGATTACTACAGACAGCACCCAGATTACAACAGACAGCACTCAGATTACTACAGACAGCACCCAGATTACTACGAACAGCACGCAGATGACTACAGACAGCACCCAGATTACTACAGACAGTACCCAGATCACTACAGACAGCGCCCAGATTACTACAGACAGTACTCAGATCACTACAGACAGCACGCAGATTACTACAGACAGTACCCAGATTACTACGGACAGCATCCAGATTACTACAGACAGCACCCAGATTACTACAGACAGCACCCAGATTACAACAGACAGCACTCAGATTACTACAGACAGCACCCAGATTACTACGGACAGCACGCAGATGACTACAGACAGCACCCAGATTACTACAGACAGTAGCCAGATCACTACAGACAGCACGCAGATTACTACAGACAGTACCAAGATTACTACGGACAGCATCCAGATTACTACAGACAGCACCCAGATTACTACGGACAGCATCCAGATTACTACAGACAGCACCCAGATTACTACAGACAGCACCCAGATTACTACGGACAGCACCCAGATTACTACGGACAGCACCCAGATTACTACAGACAGCACCCAGATTACTACAGACAGCACCCAGATGACTACAGACAGCACGCAGATCGCTACAGACAGCACCCAGATCGCTACAGACAGCACCCAGATTACTACAGACAGCACCCAGATTACTACAGACAGCACCCAGATTACTACGGACAGCACCCAGATTACTACAGACAGCACCCAGATCACTACAGACAGCACCCAGATTACTACAGACAGCACCCAAATTACTACAGACAGCACCCAGATTACTACAGACAGCACCCAGATTACTACAGACAGCACCCAGATTACTACAGACAGCACGCAGATTACTACAGACAGCACGCAGATTGCTATGGACAGAACGCAGATTACTACAGACAGCACCCAGGTTGAAACAAACAGCACCCAGATCACTACAGACAGTACCCAGATTACTACAGACAGCACCCAGATTACTACAAACAGCACCTAGATTACGACAGACAGCACGCAGATTACTACAGACAGCACCCAGATTACTACGGACAGCACCCAGATTACTACAGACAGCACCCAGATTACTACAGACAGCACCCAGATTACTACAGACAGCACCCAGATTACTACAGACAGCACCCAGATTACTACAGACAGCACCCAGATTACTACAGACAGCACCCAGGTTGAATCAAACAGCATCGAAGTTGCATCAAACAGCACCGAGGTTGAATCAAAAAGCACCCAGGTTGCATCAACATATCACCAAGTGGAATCAAACAGCACCAAGGTTGAATCAACATATCACCAAGCGGAATCAAACAGCACCAAGGTTGAATCAACACAGCACCAAGTGGAATCGAACAGCACCGAGGTTGAATCAACACAGCAGCAAGGTTGAATCAACCAGCACAAAGGAGTCTCAAACAGCACCGAATTTGAATCAAACAGCACCGAGGTTGAATTAAAAAGCACCCAGGTTCCGTCAACACAGCACCAAGTGGAATCAAACAGCACCGAGGTTGAATCAAAAAGCACCCAGGTTGCAGAAACACATCACCAAGTTGAATCAAACAGCACCAAGTGGAATTAAACAGAACCGAGGTTGAATCAAACAGGACCGAGGTTGCATCAACACATCACCAAGTAGAATCAAACGGCACCAAGTAGAATCAAACAGCACCGAGGTTGAATCAAAAAGCACCGAGGTTGACTCAAACACAGCAGAAAGTGGAATCAAACAGCACCGAAGTTGAATCAACAAAGCATGCGTTGGAGGAAAGGTGGAAATATGTCAAGAAAGAAATCATCCCTTGGCATAAGGGAGGAATGAGTGAGAAGTTGCGAAGCAAGTGCTGATAATGAAGAGGGTGGTGGTGGTGATGATGATGATGGTGGTGATGATGGCAATGATAATGATGGTGATACTGGAGGTGATGGTGATGATGGCAATGATAATGATGGTGATACTGTAGGTGATGATGATGATACTGGAGGTGATGATGATGATAATGATGGTGATACTGGAGGTGATGATGATGATGATGGCAATACTGGAGGTGATGATGATGACAATGATAGTGATACTGGAGGTGATGGTGATGTCAATGATAATGATGGTGATACTGGAGGTGATGATGATGGTGATGATGGCAATGATAATGTTAATGTTGGTGATACTGGAGGTGGTGATGATGGCAATGATAATGATGGTGATACTGGAGGTGATGGTGATGATGTCAATGATAATGATGGTGATACTGGAGGTGATGATCATGATGTCAATGATAATGATGGTGATACTGGAGGTGATGATCATGATGGCAATGATAATGTTGGTGATACTGGAGGTGATGATCATGATGGCAATGATAATGATGGTGATAGTGGAGGTGATGGTGATGTTGGCAATGATAATGATGGTGATACTGGAGGTGATGGTGATGATGGCAATGATAATGTTGGTGATACTGGAGGTGGTGATGATGATGGCAATGATAATGATGGTGATACTGGAGGTGATGATGATGATGGCAATGATAATGATGGTGATACTGGAGGTGATGGTGATGATGGCAATGATAATGATGGTGATACTGGAGGTGGTGATTTTGGCAATGATAATGGTGATACTGGAGGTGATGATGATGGCAATGATAATGATGGTGATATTGGAGGTGATGGTGATGATGGCAATGATAATGATGGTGATACTGGAGGTGATGATGATGGCAATGATAACGGTGATATTGGTGGTGGTCATGATGGCAATGATAATGATGGTGATACTGGAGGTGATGATAATGATGGCAATGATAATGGTGGTGATACTGGAAGCGGTGATGATGGCAATGATAATGATGGTGATACTGGAGGTGATGGTGATGTTGGCAATGATAATGGTGATACTGGAGGTGATGATGATGATGATGGTAATGATAATGATGGTGATATTGGAGGTGGTGATGATGGCAATGATAATGATGGTGATACTGGAGGTGATGGTGATGATGGCAATGATCACGGTGATATTGGCGGTGGTGGTGGTGGTGGTGGCGGCGAGATTGAGGCCACCGCCACCCACTGCCACGCAGGGCCGCGTGCCAACCCTCACCTCCTGCAGAAGGTCGGCCTCCTCTATCGCCTTGAGCACATCCTTCTTGGACGTCTCCTGCACCTCTCCTCCGAGCAGGAACTCGTCCAGAATGAAGTAGGCCTTCTCAAAGTTGAAGATGATGTCCAGCTCGCACACCTGGAGCGCGGCAGGGGTGGTGCGGGTGAATTGTGTGGGCGGGGCAACGCAGGGCAGACGTCGAAAAACAAGGGCACGCACACGCACGCACGCACACACACGCACGCAGACAGACAAAGGCCCCCCCCCCCCCGCGTAGCCTTCGGAGGGCCGTCGGGGCAAGTGCTGTTCGGAGCGAGCGGTAGGCCGGCACGGTGGCACGAGACGGGGTGGGTGGGTGGGTGGGTGGGCAGAACCACCACCCGCCCCGGCCGCCTTTGTCTCTCCTAGTGGCGACGCCGGCGAGCACGCGGACACGCGCGCACCCACGGACGCACACCCGCAGAGAGACAAGCACACCCATAAGTGGCTTTCCGAATATCGGCAGGAAGAGCGTTCCAGACGGCCGCAGAAGCACATCTGAAAACGCGGTGCTATGCAGTGTGTGAGTGTATGGGTTTCCGTGCGAGTCTATGGGTCTATGTTTAAAAAGAGTCTATGGGTTTGTGTGCGAGTCTATGGGTCTGTGTGTGATGAGTCTATGGGTTTGTGTGTGAGTCTATGGGTCTGTGTGTGATGAGCCTATGGGTTTGTGTGAGTCTATGGGTCTGTGTGTGATGAGTCTGTGGGTTTGTGTGTGAGTCTATGGGTCTGTGTGTCATTAATCTATGGGTTTCCGTGCGAGTTTATGGGTCTATGTTTAAAGAGTCTATGGGTTTGTGTGAGTCTGTGGGTCTCTGTGTGATGAGTCTATGGGTCTGTGTGTGATGAGTCTATGGGTCTCTGTGCGATGAGTCTATGGGTCTCTGTGTGTGATGAGTCTATGGGTCTCTGTGCGATGAGTCTATGGGTCTGTGTGTGATGAGTCTGTGGGTCTCTGTGTGATGAGTCTGTGGTCTCTGAGCGATGAGTCTATGGGTCTCTGTGTGATGAGTCTATGGGTCTGTGTGTGATGAGTCTATGGGTCTCTGTGTGATCAGTCTGTGGGTCTCTGTGTGATGAGTCTATGGGTTTCTGTGTGATGAGTCTATGGGTCTGTGTGGTGAGTCTATGGGTCTCTGAGCGATGAGTCTATGGGTCTCTGTGTGATGAGTCTATGGGTTTCTGTGTGATGAGTCTATGGGTCTGTGTGTGATGAGTCTGTGGGTCTCTGTGTGATGAGTCTGTGGTCTCTGAGCGATGAGTCTATGGGTCTCTGTGTGATGAGTCTATGGGTCTCTGTGTGATGAGTCTATGGGTCTGTGTGTGATGAGTCTATGGGTCTCTGTGTGATGAGTCTGTGGGTCTCTGTGTGATGAGTCTATGGGTTTCTGTGTGATGAGTCTATGGGTCTGTGTGGTGAGTCTATGGGTCTCTGTGTGATGAGTCTATGGGTTTCTGTGTGAGTCTATGGGTCTGTGTGTGATGAGTCTGTGGGTCTGTGTGGTGAGTCTATGGGTCTCTGTGTGATGAGTCTATGGGTCTCTGTGTGAGCCGATGGGTTTCTGTGTGAGTCTATGGGTCTGTGTGGTGAGTCTATGGGTCTGTGTGGTGAGTCTATGGGTCTCTGTGTGATGAGTCTATGGGTCTCTGTGTGATGAGTCTATGGGTTTCTGTGTGATGAGTCTATGGGTTTCTGTGTGGTGAGTCTATGGGTCTCTGTGTGAGTCTATGCGTTTCTGTGTGAGTCTATGGGTCTGTGTGATGAGTCTATGGGTCTCTGTGCGATGAGTCTGTGGGTCTCTGTGTGATGAGTCTATGGGTCTCTATGTGAGTCTATGGGTTTCTGTGTGAGTCTATGGGTCTCTGTGCGATGAGTCTATGGGTCTCTATGTGAGTCTATGGGTTTCTGTGTGAGTCTATGGGTCTCTGTGTGATGAGTCTATGGGTCTCTATGTGAGTCTATGGGTTTCTGTGTGAGTCTATGGGTCTCTGTGCAATGAGTCTATGGGTCTCTATGTGAGTCTATGGGTTTCTGTGTGATGAGTCTATGGGTCTGTGCGATGAGTCTACGGGTCTCTGTGCGATGAGTCTATGGGTCTCTGTGCGATGAGTCTATGGGTCTCTGTGCGATGAGTCTATGGGTCTCTGTGTGATGAGTCTATGGGTCTGTGTGATGAGTCTGTGGGTCTCTGTGCGATGAGTCTATGGGTCTCTGTGCGATGAGTCTATGGGTCTCTGTGTGATGAGTCTATGGGTCTGTGTGATGAGTCTATGGGTCTCTGTGCGATGAGTATGTGGGTCTCTGTGCGATGAGTCTATGGGTCTCTGTGTGATGAGTCTATGGGTCTCTGTGCGATGAGTATGTGGGTCTCTGTGTGATGAGTCTATGGGTCTCTGTGTGATGAGTCTATGGGTCTCTGTGTGATGAGTCTATGGGTCTGTGTGGTGAGTCTATAGGTCTGTGTGTGATGAGTCTATGGGTCTCTGTGTGAGTCTATGGGTTTCTGTGTGAGTCTATGGGTCTGTGTGGTGAGTCTATGGGTCTGTGTGTGATGAGTCTATGGGTCTGTGTGGTGAGTCTATGGGTCTCTGTGTGATGAGTCTATGGGTCTCTGTGTGAGTCTATGGGTTTCTGTGTGAGTCTATGGGTCTGTGTGGTGAGTCTATGGGTCTCTATGTGATGAGTCTATGGGTCTCTGTGTGATGAGTCTATGGGTTTCTGTGTGATGAGTCTATGGGTCTGTGTGGTGGGTCTATGGGTCTCTGTGTGGTGAGTCTATGGGTCTCTGTGTGATGAGTCTATGGGTCTCTGTGATGAGTCTATGGGTTTCTGTGTGATGAGTCTATGGGTCTGTGTGGTGAGTCTATGGGTCTCTGTGTGGTGAGTCTATGGGTCTCTGTGTGAGTCTATGGGTTTCTGTTTGAGTCTATGGGTCTCTGTGTGGTGAGTCTATGGGTCTGTGTGTGATGAGTCTGTGGGTCTCTGTGCGATGAGTCTGTGGGTCTCTGTGTGATGAGTCTGTGGGTCTCTGTGTGAGTCTATGGGTTTCTGTGTGAGTCTATGGGTTTGTGTGGTGAGTCTATGGGTCTCTGTGCGATGAGTCTACGGGTCTCTGTGCGATGAGTCTATGGGTCTCTGTGCGATGAGTCTGTGGGTCTCTGTGTGATGAGTCTGTGGGTCTCTGTGTGATGAGTCTGTGGGTCTCTGTGTGGTGAGTCTATGGGTCTCTGTGTGATGAGTCTATGGGTCTCTGTGCGATGAGTCTATGGGTCTCTGTGTGATGAGTCTGTGGGTCTCTGTGCGATGAGTCTATGGGTCTCTGTGTGATGAGTCTCTGGGTCTCTGTGTGTGATGAGTCTCTGGGTCTCTGTGTGTGATGAGTCTCTGGGTCTCTGTATGATGAGTCAATGGGTCTCTGTGTGATGAGTCTGTGGATCTCTGTGTGATGAGTATATGGGTCTCTGTGTGGTGAGTCTATGGGTCTCTGTGTGATGAGTCTATGGGTCTCTGTGCGGTGAGTCTATGGGTCTCTGTGTGATGAGTCTGTGGGTCTCTGTGCAATGAGTCTATGGGTCTCTGTGTGATGAGTCTCTGGGTCTCTGTATGATGAGTCTCTGGGTCTCTGTGTGATGAGTCTATGGGTCTCTGTGCGATGAGTCTATGGGTCTCTGCGTGATGAGTCTGTGGGTCTCTGTGCGATGAGTCTATGGGTCTCTGTGTGTGATGAGTCTCTGGGTCTCTGTGTGTGAGGAGTCTCTGGGTCTCTGTGTGATGAGTCAATGGGTCTCTGTGTGATGAGTCTGTGGGTCTCTGTGTGGTGAGTCTATGGGTCTCTGTGTGATGAGTCTATGGGTCTCTGTGTGATGAGTCTGTGGGTCTCTGTGTGATGAGTCTATGGGTCTCTGTGTGATGAGTCTATGAGTCTCTGTGCGATGAGTCTATGGGTCTCTGTGTGATGAGTCTATGGGTCTCTGTGTGATGAGTCTGTGGGTCTCTGTGCGATGACTCTACGGGTCTCATTGTTCGACGGCCAGCAGCCAGAAGCCATCGAGTGAGGAGCCATCGCCGACGAGAGAGCGGGCGTGTGGGGGGGGGGGGCGCGGGTGCCCCCCACGTGAGAGTGGGGATGGGGGCTGGTCCACGCACGCTCCCAAAGTACTTGTCCAGCAGCTCCACGTAGCGGTGTATCGTCTCCAGGGCGAGCAGCTCGTTGTCGTGGCACTCGACCGCACAGCAGAAGTAGAGACTCGCGTACCTGAAGGGGCACCCAGACCAAAACGCCGCTGACGTCACCGCCGCCGCTGACGTCGCCGCGGCAACCGTCGGCGAGGTCGCCGCCGCGGTTGCTACCGCCGTCGTCGCCGCGGCGACCGTCAGCGCGGGTCCCGCGATGGTCGCCGCGGGCGACCGCCGCCGCCGTCGCCTTGGTAGCAGTCGCCACGGTCACCACGGTCACCACGGTTACCGACACTCCAACTCCGCTCGCTCGCGCACCTAGCCACCTCACTCACTCGCCCAAAGACAAAGGTCCCCCGTGTGGCCCGTAACAGACTGCCGGGGGCAAGTGCCGTTATGGCGAGCAGCAGCAGCAGCAGCAGCAGCAGCAGCAGCAGCAGCAGCAGCAGCAGCAGCAGCAGCAGCAGCAGCAGCAGCAGCAGCAGCAGCAGCAGCAGCAGCAGCAGCAGCAGCAGCAGCAGCAGCAGCAGCAGCAGCAGCAGCAGCAGCAGCAGCAGCAGCAGCAGCAGCAGCAGCAGCAGCAGCAGCAGCAGCAGCAGCAGCAGCAGCAGCAGCAGCAGCAGCAGCAGCAGCAGCAGCAGCAGCAGCAGCAGCAGCAGCAGCAGCAGCAGCAGCAGCAGCAGCAGCAGCAGCAGCAGCAGCAGCAGCAGCAGCAGCAGCAGCAGCAGCAGCAGCAGCAGCAGCAGCAGCAGCAGCAGCAGCAGCAGCAGCAGCAGCAGCAGCAGCAGCAGCAGCAGCAGCAGCAGCAGCAGCAGCAGCAGCAGCAGCAGCAGCAGCAGCAGCAGCAGCAGCAGCAGCAGCAGCAGCAGCAGCAGCAGCAGCAGCAGCAGCAGCAGCAGCAGCAGCAGCAGCAGCAGCAGCAGCAGCAGCAGCAGCAGCAGCAGCAGCAGCAGCAGCAGCAGCAGCAGCAGCAGCAGCAGCAGCAGCAGCAGCAGCAGCAGCAGCAGCAGCAGCAGCAGCAGCAGCAGCAGCAGCAGCAGCAGCAGCAGCAGCAGCAGCAGCAGCAGCAGCAGCAGCAGCAGCAGCAGCAGCAGCAGCAGCAGCAGCAGCAGCAGCAGCAGCAGCAGCAGCAGCAGCAGCAGCAGCAGCAGCAGCAGCAGCAGCAGCAGCAGCAGCAGCAGCAGCAGCAGCAGCAGCAGCAGCAGCAGCAGCAGCAGCAGCAGCAGCAGCAGCAGCAGCAGCAGCAGCAGCAGCAGCAGCAGCAGCAGCAGCAGCAGCAGCAGCAGCAGCAGCAGCAGCAGCAGCAGCAGCAGCAGCAGCAGCAGCAGCAGCAGCAGCAGCAGCAGCAGCAGCAGCAGCAGCAGCAGCAGCAGCAGCAGCAGCAGCAGCAGCAGCAGCAGCAGCAGCAGCAGCAGCAGCAGCAGCAGCAGCAGCAGCAGCAGCAGCAGCAGCAGCAGCAGCAGCAGCAGCAGCAGCAGCAGCAGCAGCAGCAGCAGCAGCAGCAGCAGCAGCAGCAGCAGCAGCAGCAGCAGCAGCAGCAGCAGCAGCAGCAGCAGCAGCAGCAGCAGCAGCAGCAGCAGCAGCAGCAGCAGCAGCAGCAGCAGCAGCAGCAGCAGCAGCAGCAGCAGCAGCAGCAGCAGCAGCAGCAGCAGCAGCAGCAGCAGCAGCAGCAGCAGCAGCAGCAGCAGCAGCAGCAGCAGCAGCAGCAGCAGCAGCAGCAGCAGCAGCAGCAGCAGCAGCAGCAGCAGCAGCAGCAGCAGCAGCAGCAGCAGCAGCAGCAGCAGCAGCAGCAGCAGCAGCAGCAGCAGCAGCAGCAGCAGCAGCAGCAGCAGCAGCAGCAGCAGCAGCAGCAGCAGCAGCAGCAGCAGCAGCAGCAGCAGCAGCAGCAGCAGCAGCAGCAGCAGCAGCAGCAGCAGCAGCAGCAGCAGCAGCAGCAGCAGCAGCAGCAGCAGCAGCAGCAGCAGCAGCAGCAGCAGCAGCAGCAGCAGCAGCAGCAGCAGCAGCAGCAGCAGCAGCAGCAGCAGCAGCAGCAGCAGCAGCAGCAGCAGCAGCAGCAGCAGCAGCAGCAGCAGCAGCAGCAGCAGCAGCAGCAGCAGCAGCAGCAGCAGCAGCAGCAGCAGCAGCAGCAGCAGCAGCAGCAGCAGCAGCAGCAGCAGCAGCAGCAGCAGCAGCAGCAGCAGCAGCAGCAGCAGCAGCAGCAGCAGCAGCAGCAGCAGCAGCAGCAGCAGCAGCAGCAGCAGCAGCAGCAGCAGCAGCAGCAGCAGCAGCAGCAGCAGCAGCAGCAGCAGCAGCAGCAGCAGCAGCAGCAGCAGCAGCAGCAGCAGCAGCAGCAGCAGCAGCAGCAGCAGCAGCAGCAGCAGCAGCAGCAGCAGCAGCAGCAGCAGCAGCAGCAGCAGCAGCAGCAGCAGCAGCAGCAGCAGCAGCAGCAGCAGCAGCAGCAGCAGCAGCAGCAGCAGCAGCAGCAGCAGCAGCAGCAGCAGCAGCAGCAGCAGCAGCAGCAGCAGCAGCAGCAGCAGCAGCAGCAGCAGCAGCAGCAGCAGCAGCAGCAGCAGCAGCAGCAGCAGCAGCAGCAGCAGCAGCAGCAGCAGCAGCAGCAGCAGCAGCAGCAGCAGCAGCAGCAGCAGCAGCAGCAGCAGCAGCAGCAGCAGCAGCAGCAGCAGCAGCAGCAGCAGCAGCAGCAGCAGCAGCAGCAGCAGCAGCAGCAGCAGCAGCAGCAGCAGCAGCAGCAGCAGCAGCAGCAGCAGCAGCAGCAGCAGCAGCAGCAGCAGCAGCAGCAGCAGCAGCAGCAGCAGCAGCAGCAGCAGCAGCAGCAGCAGCAGCAGCAGCAGCAGCAGCAGCAGCAGCAGCAGCAGCAGCAGCAGCAGCAGCAGCAGCAGCAGCAGCAGCAGCAGCAGCAGCAGCAGCAGCAGCAGCAGCAGCAGCAGCAGCAGCAGCAGCAGCAGCAGCAGCAGCAGCAGCAGCAGCAGCAGCAGCAGCAGCAGCAGCAGCAGCAGCAGCAGCAGCAGCAGCAGCAGCAGCAGCAGCAGCAGCAGCAGCAGCAGCAGCAGCAGCAGCAGCAGCAGCAGCAGCAGCAGCAGCAGCAGCAGCAGCAGCAGCAGCAGCAGCAGCAGCAGCAGCAGCAGCAGCAGCAGCAGCAGCAGCAGCAGCAGCAGCAGCAGCAGCAGCAGCAGCAGCAGCAGCAGCAGCAGCAGCAGCAGCAGCAGCAGCAGCAGCAGCAGCAGCAGCAGCAGCAGCAGCAGCAGCAGCAGCAGCAGCAGCAGCAGCAGCAGCAGCAGCAGCAGCAGCAGCAGCAGCAGCAGCAGCAGCAGCAGCAGCAGCAGCAGCAGCAGCAGCAGCAGCAGCAGCAGCAGCGGCAGCAGCAGCAGCAGCAGCAGCAGCAGCAGCAGCAGCAGCAGCAGCAGCAGCAGCAGCAGCAGCAGCAGCAGCAGCAGCAGCAGCAGCAGCAGCAGCAGCAGCAGCAGCAGCAGCAGCAGCAGCAGCAGCAGCAGCAGCAGCAGCAGCAGCAGCAGCAGCAGCAGCAGCAGCAGCAGCAGCAGCAGCAGCAGCAGCAGCAGCAGCAGCAGCAGCAGCAGCAGCAGCAGCAGCAGCAGCAGCAGCAGCAGCAGCAGCAGCAGCAGCAGCAGCAGCAGCAGCAGCAGCAGCAGCAGCAGCAGCAGCAGCAGCAGCAGCAGCAGCAGCAGCAGCAGCAGCAGCAGCAGCAGCAGCAGCAGCAGCAGCAGCAGCAGCAGCAGCAGCAGCAGCAGCAGCAGCAGCAGCAGCAGCAGCAGCAGCAGCAGCAGCAGCAGCAGCAGCAGCAGCAGCAGCAGCAGCAGCAGCAGCAGCAGCAGCAGCAGCAGCAGCAGCAGCAGCAGCAGCAGCAGCAGCAGCAGCAGCAGCAGCAGCAGCAGCAGCAGCAGCAGCAGCAGCAGCAGCAGCAGCAGCAGCAGCAGCAGCAGCAGCAGCAGCAGCAGCAGCAGCAGCAGCAGCAGCAGCAGCAGCAGCAGCAGCAGCAGCAGCAGCAGCAGCAGCAGCAGCAGCAGCAGCAGCAGCAGCAGCAGCAGCAGCAGCAGCAGCAGCAGCAGCAGCAGCAGCAGCAGCAGCAGCAGCAGCAGCAGCAGCAGCAGCAGCAGCAGCAGCAGCAGCAGCAGCAGCAGCAGCAGCAGCAGCAGCAGCAGCAGCAGCAGCAGCAGCAGCAGCAGCAGCAGCAGCAGCAGCAGCAGCAGCAGCAGCAGCAGCAGCAGCAGCAGCAGCAGCAGCAGCAGCAGCAGCAGCAGCAGCAGCAGCAGCAGCAGCAGCAGCAGCAGCAGCAGCAGCAGCAGCAGCAGCAGCAGCAGCAGCAGCAGCAGCAGCAGCAGCAGCAGCAGCAGCAGCAGCAGCAGCAGCAGCAGCAGCAGCAGCAGCAGCAGCAGCAGCAGCAGCAGCAGCAGCAGCAGCAGCAGCAGCAGCAGCAGCAGCAGCAGCAGCAGCAGCAGCAGCAGCAGCAGCAGCAGCAGCAGCAGCAGCAGCAGCAGCAGCAGCAGCAGCAGCAGCAGCAGCAGCAGCAGCAGCAGCAGCAGCAGCAGCAGCAGCAGCAGCAGCAGCAGCAGCAGCAGCAGCAGCAGCAGCAGCAGCAGCAGCAGCAGCAGCAGCAGCAGCAGCAGCAGCAGCAGCAGCAGCAGCAGCAGCAGCAGCAGCAGCAGCAGCAGCAGCAGCAGCAGCAGCAGCAGCAGCAGCAGCAGCAGCAGCAGCAGCAGCAGCAGCAGCAGCAGCAGCAGCAGCAGCAGCAGCAGCAGCAGCAGCAGCAGCAGCAGCAGCAGCAGCAGCAGCAGCAGCAGCAGCAGCAGCAGCAGCAGCAGCAGCAGCAGCAGCAGCAGCAGCAGCAGCAGCAGCAGCAGCAGCAGCAGCAGCAGCAGCAGCAGCAGCAGCAGCAGCAGCAGCAGCAGCAGCAGCAGCAGCAGCAGCAGCAGCAGCAGCAGCAGCAGCAGCAGCAGCAGCAGCAGCAGCAGCAGCAGCAGCAGCAGCAGCAGCAGCAGCAGCAGCAGCAGCAGCAGCAGCAGCAGCAGCAGCAGCAGCAGCAGCAGCAGCAGCAGCAGCAGCAGCAGCAGCAGCAGCAGCAGCAGCAGCAGCAGCAGCAGCAGCAGCAGCAGCAGCAGCAGCAGCAGCAGCAGCAGCAGCAGCAGCAGCAGCAGCAGCAGCAGCAGCAGCAGCAGCAGCAGCAGCAGCAGCAGCAGCAGCAGCAGCAGCAGCAGCAGCAGCAGCAGCAGCAGCAGCAGCAGCAGCAGCAGCAGCAGCAGCAGCAGCAGCAGCAGCAGCAGCAGCAGCAGCAGCAGCAGCAGCAGCAGCAGCAGCAGCAGCAGCAGCAGCAGCAGCAGCAGCAGCAGCAGCAGCAGCAGCAGCAGCAGCAGCAGCAGCAGCAGCAGCAGCAGCAGCAGCGCTCCCCCACGCAAAGAGAAAGGTCCCCCGTGTAGCCTTTAACAGGCTGTAGGGGCAAGTGCTGTTAGCGAGTAGCAGCAGCGCCTATACACAGACAAAGATCCCCCGTGTAGCCTCTAACAGGCTGTAGGGGCAAGTGCTGTTAGCGAGTAGCAGCAGCAGCACCTATACACAGACAAAGATCCCCCGTGTAGCCTCTAACAGGGCCGTAGGGGCAAGTGCTGTTAGCGAGTAGCAGCAGCACCTATACACAGACAAAGATCCCCCGTGTAGCCTCTAACAGGCTGTAGGGGCAAGTGCTGTTAGCGAGTAGCAGCAGCACCTATACACAGACAAAGATCCCCCGTGTAGCCTCTCACAGACAGTAGGGGCAAGTGCCGTTAGCGAGTAGCAGCAGCACCTATACACAGACAAAGATCCCCCGTGTAGCCTCTAACAGGCTGTAGGGGCAAGTGCTATTAGCGAGTAGCAGCAGCACCTATACACAGACAAAGATCCCCCGTGTAGCCTCTAACAGACTGTAGGAGCAAGTGCTGTTAGCGAGTAGCAGCAGCAGCGCCTAAACACAGACAAAGATCCCCCGTGTAGCCTCTAACAGACTGTAGGAGCAAGTGCTGTTAGCGAGCAGCAGCAGCACCTATACACAGACAAAGATTCCCCGTGTAGCTTCTCACAGACAGTAGGGGCAAGTGCCGTTAGCGAGTAGCAGCAGCACCTACACACAGACAAAGATCCCCCGTGTAGCCTCTAACAGGCTGTAGGGGCAAGTGCTGTTAGCGAGTAGCAGCAGCAGCACCTATACACAGACAAAGATCCCCCGTGTAGCCTCTAACAGGCTGTAGGGGCAAGTGCTGTTGGTAGCGAGTAGCAGCAGCAGCACCTATACACAGACAAAGATCCCCCGTGTAGCCTCTCACAGACAGTAGGGGCAAGTGCCGTTAGCGAGTAGCAGCAGCACCTATACACAGACAAAGGTCCCCCGTGTAGCCTCTAACAGGCTGTAGTGGCAAGTGCTGTTAGCGAGTAGCAGCAGCACCTATACACAGACAAAGATCCCCGTGTAGCCTCTAACAGACTGTAGGAGCAAGTGCTGTTAGCGAGCAGCAGCAGCACCTATACACAAAGATCCCCCGTGTAGCCTCTCACAGACAGTAGGGGCAAGTGCCGTTAGCGAGTAGCAGCAGCACCTACACACAGACAAAGATCCCCCGTGTAGCCTCTAACAGGGCCGTAGGGGCAAGTGCTGTTAGCGAGCAGCGCCTATGAAGGCTACCGGGCGCTGTGGCACACCCACAGAGTGGGGTGGCTGGCTACCAGCACCACGCCCGGCCGCCTCTGTCTCGCCGGTCGCGACGTCCATGACTCCGCACCGCACCAGGGCGGATCGATCCCAACGCCGAGCCCGAACCTAGCGGGAGGAGCCCGAGCGAGACGCGGGGGAGCGGGGCCGGCGGCGGCGACCGCTCGCACCTCTTGTAGGTGACCTTGAGGTCGCGCCACTCCAGGAAGCTGCTCATCTTGGGCTTGCGCGTGAGCACCGCCTGCACCAGCTCCTTCACCACCTTCTTCTTCTCACGGTCACCCAGCGCCACGTACCACTTCTGCAGACGCAGCTTGCCCTGGCGGCTGAACAGCAGCATGAACCGCATCTGCGCGCGGTGGTGGCGGAGAGATACGCGCGGAGATGCATGCATGCAGACAGATACATACAGACAGACACATACATACAGACAGACAGATACATACAGACGGACAGACACGTACATACATACAGACAGATACATACACACACACGTAGCTTGGCCTGGCAGGCTGAACAGCAGCATGAACCGCATCTGCGCTGTGGCAGAGAGATACGCGCGGAGATGCATGCATACAGACACATACAGAAAGATACATACAGACAGATACATACAGACGGACAGACACGTACATACATACAGACAGATACATACACACACACGTAGCTTGGCCTGGCAGGCTGAACAGCAGCATGAACCGCATCTGCGCAGTGGCGGAGAGATACGCGCGGGGGGATCGCATGCATGCAGATACATACAGAGAGATACATACATACATGCATACAGACACATACATACAGACAGACACATGCATACAGACACATGCATACAGACACATGCATACAGACAGACATACACATGCATACAGACAGATACATGCATACAGACATACACATGCATACAGATAGATACATACAGACAGATACATACATACAGACATACACATACACACATACAGACAGATACATACATACATACAGACATACATACATACATAGACAGACATGCATACAGACATGCATGCAGACAGATACATACATACATACAGACATGCATACAGACACAAACATACAGACAGACACATGCATACAGATACATGCATACAGACACGCATACAGACACATGCATACAGACACACACATGCATACAGACAGACATACACATGCATACAGACAGACATACACATGCATACAGACAGATACATGCATACAGACATACACATGCATACAGATAGATAGATACATACAGACATACACATACACACATACAGACAGATACATGCATACACATACATACAGATAGATACATGCATACAGATACATGCATACAGACAGATGCATACATACATGCATACAGACACATACATACAGATACATACATACGTACAGACATGCACATACATACAGACAGATACATACAGACAGATACATACATACATGCATACAGACACATACATACAGACACATACATACAGACATACACATACATACAGACAGATACATACAACCGCCATTCGCAACTAAGTGGCGGCGAGGTCACCACGACGCTTGTGCCAGGCCATGTGCACCTTGAGGCCACGTGAAGTGTCGAACGCCCGCTGGCAGGAGGTCACGGGGCAGACCCAGGTGCCACGGGTCGACTGACTGAGACGACCGAGATGACTGGGTGATGCACCACCTGTGCCCCCTACTGTGTCAACTTGCTGTGCTTTAGCCACCCGGCGCTCCGCTCATTGTTGTGAGCGTCGCTCCTCCGCCCTCCGTTGTTGTTGGAGGGCGACTGCCTCCAACTGCCCAGTAGCGGCGTCCTTCACGAGCCTCCTCCACAGAGGCCGATCTTGACACCGCTGGTACCGTTCATCGGCAAGTCCACTCAGCTCCACGTCCTCCCGTACCACATCACTCCATCTCTTCTCTAGCCTGTGCCGCGCCGTTTAGCCACCTCGATCCGGCCGAACAAAAGCTGTTTCGGCATGCGGTGGCTGGGCATGCGGGCTACATGACCCAGCCATCGCAGCCTTGCCTGCCGGAGGAGCTCACCGATGGGACCTTGCCCAGATCTTTCAAGGATTTGTGAGCTCCTCACACAATCCAGCCTGGTTAAACCCAGGATGGATCGTAGGCAGGCCAGCCTAAATGTTTCTAACCGGCGAAGATGTTCCATTAGGGGGGGTCCACGTTTCGCAAGCGTAGAGAAGGGAGGGGAATGACCGTGGCCGAGAAGACCTGAAGCTTAGTGCGGAGCGACAGACCAGGTAGCTTCCACACAGCGTTATGCAACCGATGAAAAGATATTGCCGCTCGACTGATTCGGAGTGAGACCTCTGCTGTTAAACTGGAGCCGGTCATAAGCACACTGCCCAGGTATGGGAAACTCTCCACTCGCTCCACAACTGCCCCATCACCCAGAGCCCAAACCTACTGATGGTATCATAGGCCTTGACCAGGTCAATAAAGCAGAGATGTAGGTCTTGTTGGAATTCCCTACACCTCTGCTGTAGCAGACGGACAGAAAATATGGCATCTGTGCAGGACCGCCCTTTCCTGAAACCGCATTGGGGCTCCGCAAGCCTCTTCTCAGCGTGCCTGGCAAGGCGATGTTGAATAATGCTTGCCAGGACCTTTGCCGGTACACTGAGGAGTGAGATGCCCCTGTAGTTGTTACAGTCTGTGCGGTCCCCCTTCTCAAAGATGGGGACCACCAGGGCATCCTTCCAATCCTGCGGATCCCGTCCAGTGGTCCAGACTGTTGTTATGATGTCATATAGGGCAGTCTGTGCACAAACGCCGCCCTCCCTCAGCATTTCGCCTGGGAGATCATCTCTGCCCGCTGCCTTTCCTGGTCTCAAGACTCCGGATCGCCTTCAGTACTTCCTCAACAGTCTTGTTGTAACAGCTCTCTTGCTGTGTTCATTCCTGGTTCCGCAATTCCACTGCTGGATTATATTTTCCGCCTGAGGACGACCACTTGTGTTGCGATCGAAACGTCGTGATATATTATTTTTTATTTTATTACTTTTTCTACCTACGTGACTTTACCGAAAGAACCAAAGAGTATAAAGATCATTAATTGCTTTAACGTGTCGTCCCCAACGCACCTCCGATTACCACGATTGGCTACGTACGGTGCGAAAGAAGTTCAACACATATATACACGTGAGTATGGGTCTCAGTGGGTCTCTGTGGGTCTCTATGGTGCTATGAGTCTCTGTGGGTCTCTGTGGGTCTCTATGGAGCTCTGAGTCTCTGGATCTGTGGGTCTCTATAGGTCTCTATGGGTCTCTGTGGGTCTCTATGGTGCTATGAGTCTCTGTGGGTCTCTGTGGGTCTCTATGGTGCTATGAGTCTCTATGGGTCTCTGTGGGTCTCTGTGGATCTCTGTGGGTCTCTACGGTACTATGAGTCTCTGGATCTCTATGGGTCTCTGTGGGTCTCTATGGTGCTATGAGTCTCTGTGGGTCTCTGTGGGTCTCTATGGTGCTATATGAGTCTCTGTGGGTCTCTATGGGTCTCAGTGGGTCTCTATGGTGCTATGAGTCTCTGTGGGTCTCTGTGGGTCTCAGTGGGTCTCTATGGTGCTATGAGTCTATGTGAGTCTCTGTGGGTCTCTATGGTGCTATGAGTCTCTGTGGGTCTCTGTGGGTCTCTATGGTGCTATGAGTCTCTGGATGTCTATGGGTCTCTGTGGGTCTTTGTGGGTCTCTGTGGGTCTTTGTGGGTCTCTATGGTGCTATGAGTCTCTGGATCTGTGGGTCTCTATGGGTCTCTATGGGTCTCAGTGGGTCTCTATGGTGCTATGAGTCTCTGTGGGTCTCTGTGGGTCTCTGTGGGTCTCTATGGTGCTATGAGTCTATGTGAGTCTCTGTGGGTCTCTATGGTGCTATGAGTCTCCAGATCTGTGGGTCGATGTGGGTCTCTATGGTGCTATGAGTCTCTGTGGGTCTCTATGGTGCTATGAGTCTCTGTGGGTCTCTATGGGTCTCTGTGGGTCTCTACGATGTCTATGGGTCTCACTTCTGATATTACGAAGCCAATGGGAGCTCTGAACTTTTAAATCATCAGGTCATGGGTTTGATCCCGACCCTGACGACGCCTGCTGCTGCTGTATATTTGGAGTTTGCGTGTCTCTCTCTCATCATCATCATCATCACAGTGGCTAGGAGATGTTGACTACCTCGCCTGGTATACAGGAGGTCGTGTGTTCGATCCCGACCCTGACGACGCCTGCTGCTGCTGCTGCATATCTGGAGTTTGCGTCTGTCTCCCTCTCCCTCTCTCCCACGTGGCGGCGAGGATTTTTCTCCGGGTCCTCCGGTTTTTTCCCCCCTCCGCATTGACAATCGACGTCACCAAACGCGCTTAAGGGACACTTAACTTCAACCAGGATTTGAAGCTTTCGTGACTGCACGACTCCCGTACTTTTTGGTTCTTTCGGTAAAGTCACGTAGGTATAAAATAATAATAATAGATCACGACGTTTCGATCGCAACACGAGCGACCGTCATCAGGTGAGACAACACCACAGCAAGGGGGGGAACTGCCGTGATTGTCCGAGCGACATTTAACTCATTTCGCTGCTACGGAATTTCCACACAACGGGCGACGTGGTCGAGCTATCTCCGCGCGTGCCAGCCACGGCCCGCCGAGTGAAAAAGAAACCGCACGGCCCGGCGGGCCTTAAACCTGGTCAAATACAGAAAAAGTAACATTTAAAAAAAACATTTAAAAAAAAAAAAACACGCTTTAACGTGCCGTACGAGTAATGGACGAACTTCGCGAAAGCTTCAAATCTAGAAAAAAAAAACTTGTTTCGTTGAGTCACGATACTTTGATAGTGTTGCCACAGTACGGGATTACTATTTCGAGCGGCGGTTCTTAATCTTTTCTCTGCAGCCTTTGTACCCCTTTGGTTCTCGATGGGCGAAAATAGGTAATATTTAAAAAACACTTTTTTTTTTTAAAACACGCTTTTATGAAATGTACTAGTAATGGCAGAACTCCACGACTCCAGGAAGTTGGCCCCGAAGCTTGGCCGCAACGTGAGGGGGCCCGTGGCGATCTACAGCCAACGTCAGTTGACCGTGGACAATCAGACCCAAGCCGAAACATTAACGTGTAAAAAAGATCGTTTAAAAATTTTCATTTTCATTTTTAATGATAGGCTATGGTATTGTCATCGGTATGACACAAGTATAACCGAGTTTGCAGTCGATACCACATTGGGAAGTGGGTTAACATTGAGTTGCAAGATTTGAGGATGCAACAACAGACAGACTGATCTTCTTTGGTTCTTTCGGTAAAGTCACGTAGAATGAGAATAAAATAATAAATTGATATTTTATTTGATTT